CACACAATCCCGGTAATCTCTTGATTGTAGGTGAAATACCCTAAATGCCATAAAGCACCTAAACAAGTTATTACCTACTACGAAAAATATATTAAAATAGGCCAAATATGTTTTTAATTTTTTCTTCCAAGAAGTTACTAACAATAATGAGATTTTTTGCTGAGAAACCTGACCTTTATATTCTTGAATTAGTATTCATTACAGCTAGCTAGATGTTTTGTGAGAAGGGGAAATGAAATATTTCAAGTGATTTTTTTCTATTACCTACTCATGTTCTTTTCTCATTGGAAATGCTACTAAACTGAGTAGTAGTTATACAATATAAGTATTTTATATTTTGTTTTGTCAATTTGTATTTCATAGTGAAGTGGAGTGAACTGGGCCACAGGTTTTTCTTTTGTTTTTAATAATTAGTTTTATTTATACGTAGTTGAACAAACTGTATCTCCGTCAACCGATATTATTGTTTCTCCTGAATTAGAACCGTGTGGATAGTGCACATAACTGCAGATTATTATTATGATATGAACTGATTCTCAGATCGGGTAAAACGTTATTTCTGAATTTGTTATTTACCTGTAGCTTGGTAGGTCTTTGCAATGTTCGTATATTTGAGTAATTTGAGGCTGCTAGAGGCAGAGTGACCTCATAACAAAAAACATGATTTTCAATAAGGAGGAAAAGTGAAATTGCGGATGAAAGCGTATACCTGTTCCCAGCTGTGGGAAAGATATAACGCAATACAATTAGTGAAGCGAGCCAATGTAAGCAGAGCATCAACGCGCAAAATTAAAATGATCGTAGTGATTCATAGCTTAAATTTCCGCTTCAGATGGCGCGTCTTTGTCGCTTTGAAAATGAATAAAAACGAATGTCCCTCGTCACGTAACGCTGACTGTGCGCCGCTCGGATTTCACTGAATTACTCTTACTGTTTTAATTAAAGCCGTCGTTTCTATTTCAATTCAATTTCGCCATGTTTCGTTCGCGCTTTGTCCGGTCAAAAGTGAGTTATGACCGATGTAACGGGTGGTTTTAGAGGATTCTTTTTTTAGATTACCACGAAGATACGAATTTTTCTGATAAACACAATTTTCGTGTACTAACTGGCATGGGGAACGTTTTTCGGCATAAGTATTTCGACTAAATTTATTCACCATAAACACAGCTCTTGTAAGTTAATCTTTAAAGACAGACATATACTATTCCGTTTATTTTTGGATTATTTCAAGAAGAATAATTCTTTTATGGTATCTTGATAAGTTTCGCGTAAGGGAATCGTTTAAAGACGTACGATTTTCTCTGTTTTTTTTTTTCAATATTTTTCACTGACCTCGCTTCTATTGGTCGCAGCGTGATGCTTTTAGTGTCCTATTATTGTCAAATGGTCCAGCCAACAATAACATTTTTTCAATTCAAACCAGTACTTCCTGAGATTAGCGCGTTCAAACAAATAAACTTTGCAGCTTTATTATATGCTGGAATGTATATGGCGTGGAATTGGTGAAAATCATTTCTTATACGATGTCTACATCATCCAATAAACACAATTTTCAGGTAAGCTTCCTACTGTTCTTCTTTTGAATCAGAACTTCATAAAATGTTAAATTAAAAAAATTACAAGTTACTCGAAATTAAATAAACTTATCATGGCCAGTTATAACCTTAATGAGAGGATTAGGCTTAACCCTAGACACGTACTCACATATTGCAAAGAAAATGAACTTTATACCAAGCTGTTAAAGTCGAATATTCTACAGCTATTGATATTTCGTGCAACGGTAGGTTGGAGACCGCTGAACAGTGTAAAATTCGACCAATTTAACCTGACCCCTGAGGGCTGTAGCATTTCGGTTGTTAGTACGCTTGGTTTGGCTAAGGTAGCACTGTGTGAGGTCATGCTATATTGGTGTCGTAGAAGCGTAAGCTTTTGCCAACGGAGCGCAAACCACAAACATAGGACAGTCTGTTTCGGTTTAATACCTATTCATATGTAAATGGTTATTTCAACGTAGGATTAATATCAAAAATACATATTAAAGAATTTTCAATAACATTTTTGCAAATAGCATTTTTTTTAAAGAATAGAAAAGAAAAGCATATTTTTTTTTTTTTTTGGCTTCGTCTAGAAATCTGGATATTAAATTGATGGTAGGAATATCGAAATTCCGTTCGAGTCACAAACCACCGTCCACAGATGAAAAAGTTTAGTCACGTTCCGGTTTCAGTCTGTGGATTTCTGAATACCCAAAGCTAAAATACGACAACGCATCTGTGTGTGATCGCAACGTGTTTTGATAGTATTTTATCTATCATCAAGGGAACCCCATACTTAACTGCCATTTTCTATTATTTAAAAAAAAGATAGATTTCTCATCTGTGGTTTTTTGTTGACTGATTGTCACATATGTCAAATAGAATAATTCCTTTTTTGAATAATATAGCTTTCAGATGTGCTCGCTCTTGGCAACCCAAAACTAATTTTTCACTCATTAAAACCTTATTTTGTCTTGTTTATATATTATTTATTATTACTCTTACATTGATAGTAAAGCGACGTACGCTTGTTAGGCTGTAATCAACAGGTTTATTGGCGTCTTCCAACTGCATCAGGACATTGCCAATTTGCGGTCTGTAGTTCGTTACTGAATTACCACAGACTGCAACACCGATTATTAATTGCACCTTAACTTCATCTATCCAACACAAGTTTATTATTTATTAAACCCATTTAAACTGGTTAGAACACAATATATTGTTAATAGTGAAACAGAACTTTTAACGGTTTAAACGTGAAATATATTCCTTAAAATATTTACAATTTATTTTAACTACCCCGTGACCACAAGTGCTGCAGAGCGTTCGAAACGTCGGGCCATAGTTAAAATAAAGGGTTAATAAGTTGATTAATACATATCACAATTCAAACCGTTAACAATGCTTTATTTAAAATAAGCTTCTAGCTTACGTAACTCTTTTATTTATACGCAAAACAGGTCCCACAACAAAGTAGATTCAAGCCAAAATTTAAATATGATTTGCATTACAAAAATAATAATGGCCACATGAATTTTAAATTTTTGGTTAATTGCATTCAATACCAATTACCATACACTAGAGCAAAGCCACAGCGATTTGCATGCCATTAGATAGAAAAGCTTTTTTCATTAAAAACGCTTTTAGTCTTAAATAGTCGGTCGCGTAGTGGATATTGAACCTTTTGTTTTATACAATAAAGCTTAGTATTGTTCGACTTTTGTATTGATGTTGGACGATGAGATTGCATTCCGGTATTCCGTTCAGCCAGAGGTCGCTGGATGCATAAGGCTTGCGGTACAAGTCATAAACTGTTACAGTTTACATACTCACAAACACTACACATGTAGAACAATATTTACAAAGCAACAGTTAAGTAAAATATTTTAACATGTTGTATCCTATAACATATAATAGAAAAAATAGCATAAATATGTGTATAGCAATATATACAAAACTGAAGAATTTGTTTGTCTGAACACGTTTACCTCAGAAACTACTAGTGGGAATCAAAATATTATTTTTATTCGAGGAAGGCTGTTATAGGCTATGAAACATCGCACTGCGGCTTAGGGAGCGAAAAAATAGGGGGGAAGTGTGGAGGAAACGACGAAAAATAAAAATATATGAAAGAATGATTCCTCTTTAAATGATCTAAAAAATCTCCGTCTACCTTTTAAGATAAACTCTCAAAAAGGACAAGACGCGACCGACGTGGTGGGTAACAGCCTAAATCTATAAGGATGAATAGGAGGTTTGCAAAAACAAATTTTGTTGCCCAAAACAACTATTCTACACGGACGAAGTCGCCGACACAGCTAGTTAAAAATAAAACATGGTAACTCTCTCTTTTATCTTTAATGAGATCGCTGTTCACAATGTGTACCGTCACAATTGGAAACTATTTTAAAAGAAAATTGTAATATCACTGAAATGAATTATCTTAATATATCGTTTGTGGCATAAGTCAAATTCTAACCCCTCGGAAACTTGACGCAAAACATGAATACCAAAGCAACTTCATTCGCTTTTTATAGAAGTTCGTTACTCGATCCAGTAGACTGCTACAGTAACCAGGTTCAACACCTTTCAGGAACTTCTGAAAAGGGTATGGAGAACAGAAAACAAGAGATTCACTTGATGGTAGGTGGAATACCACCCATTTAATGCCCAGATTCTAGTCTAGACGAAGACCAACATGTTTCGGAAAAATTATAAATTGACAAATTAGGAACATGTTGGACGTGGTGGGAATCGAACCCAAGACCCGTAGATTGTTTGCTGCCGAGCCCGTCGTATTTTGCTCTTTATACGTTGATCATGATTATGCGCCCACTGTTGGGCGTGGGCCACTCCCAAACCAGGCCGGTCGTCCTAGTTTTTACACGTTAATTTAAACTAATTACTTTTATTTCGCAATCGAATTGAAAATTCTCTATATAGGTTTTCATAAAAATTGATTGGAGTTTGAGCTTTTAAAGCGAAATGGAGCAAAAATCGTTGAGTTAGGTTTGATTCTTTCTCGCAATAAAAATAGGTTTTAAGCCTCCTTTTCAATGCACTGCGGCGTTGAATATAGAAATCCGGATATTATATGAGTTTAATACCAAAATATTAAAATGAAAACTAATACCGCATAAGTTATTGGAAAAAATATGATTGTAAGAACTGCAATCAAAACCTATTTATGTTATATACCTTATTCGGTTTAATAGTCTAGGTATAGTTGTGTATACGCCAGTCAAAATAGCTCAAACTGAGTTATTTATAAAAAAAAACTTTATTTAAAAATATTACAATTTAGCACTTGAAATATAAACTTAACTAACAACTGGTAGCGAGCGAATGTCTCTATCTTGTGTTCCCTGCGTCTTATATAGTGTCTGATGTGTGTGGTAAGGTTACAGGTGGTCCTTCTCCGTTGTGCATGTTCTTGGAATGAGGTCATTATTAATAATTAGTCCATTATTTTACATGAGACGTCTCTGTCCTTAATGGGGTATTGTTTGACGTCCACGGGGTCAACATCCGTACATGTCCATCATCTAAGTTATCTTTCATAGTTGGACTTCTAGGTTTTTTAAAATAGACTATGGTGTTTTGGGTGGCTTCACTATCCCCCACCAAATTCGAAGTCCGGGTTTTTCTACAAAATCTGGATCTGAGAATTTTTACAAAAATGATTAAAACAATTCCAATAGCAATTATACTTATTAAACTGTATTGTATAATATCGTGTTTCTTGTGATCGTCGAATGGTTCCAAGCTTTTTAATTGCTTAAGTTTAGACTTAATTTTTGAAGCATCGTAAGTCAAATCCATTTCTGACGCTGTTTCTACTATTGGAGTGTCAATATTTGTTATTATTATTTGATCTTTAGATTCTCTTGTTTGAAACACCATAATGCCTGATATGTTAAGTTCACAATTTTCACCATAAAGTATGTTAGAACCTTTTGTCCAAACTAAATCATGATGACCTTTACAATTCACACTGACTTCAGTAGTTTTATTAAAAAACATGTATATTGCTTTTGGGGACACCTGAAAAACTTCTTGCTCCGGACATCTTATTGATACTGATTGACACTTATTACTTTCCTTTTTGTTTAAAATGTCCGATTCACAACTATCAATTTTTACTGGAACACCTTTGCATATTAACATATCAAATTCTCGACATTCTTCCGCCTCGTAGATTTCCTCTTCTTTATAAGCTAAAGTAACCTTCTGCATTATAGGATAGGTACAGGATAGGTCATTTTGGATTACGGGTACAATTTTTCGTGTATTATAAATCTTAGGTTTAACTAAAGGTATATTAATTATAAAATAAACAATCTCATCAATTATCCTACTTTCTACATTAATGAAGGGCTCAATATCATTTAGATTATATGAAAATATTACTTCTCTTGGAATGTTTTTAATTGTTTCTTGCAATACATGTGATTGTATAATACTATAATGGAACATTTTATGTTCTGCAAAAGTTAGCGCTGTGGTTAATCTTTCAGCTACATCTTGTAGGGTCTGTGCTTGTAATAATAATGATATTGCGACCTTTTGTTGTTGTCTACTACTAAACGAATTTCGAAATTGTTCATTAATTTCTTGCTGAATTATTGTAATATTAGCAATTTGTTTATTATATTCTTCTAAGGTTTCGTCTGTTATCGAAATTTGTTTATTGTATGCGACTCTTAATGTTTCTAAATCTTTTTGTATGTTATCTAAATCGTCCTGGTCTAAATTTCCAGTTATTGCCTTAATTATACTTCCTAGTCCATTAACTAATCCTCTTTTAACTCTAACTGAACTTTGAATATTTAAATGTTTACATATTTCCTTAATATGATCTAAAATAATATTAATTCGCTGATAAATATGTTTAACGTCTTCTAATTTTTGTTTAGTAATAGCATATTTTACAGATGTTTCTATACTTTCTAAATTATATTTTATTGGTTTTATGTCTAATTGATGTATTATAGCCCACCTTCCTTCTAAGATACGGGATGGTTTTGTTTCTACTAGAATTACATTTTCGGATAGCGTTAGTTTTCGGAACTTGAACCCAAAGACGACGACGAATCTGCAACAATATCAAGTTCTTCTACATGATATGTTCGACCGTTACTTAATTTGTATTTGTTATTCGGTTCTACGCTAATTATATCGAAAGGACCCAAAAATCTTGCTTTTGTTTTGTGTCTTTCTGCCATACTGTTTTTTAGATAGGCTATATCTCCTATTTTATATGTTCTAGGGTTTATAATTTTTTTATTTATTCTTTCATTTCTTACTTGCTTATTTCTTTTCAATAAGTCGTGAATATTTTTATTTAGTTCCTTAGAAAAATCTCGTTGTTGAGCTGTATACTGTTGTACGATTACTTTTAAATTATCAAAACTACGTAACTTAGTTTTTCTTCCGAAATGAACTTCGAAAGGTGTTTTATCAATGGAACTATGCCTAGTGTTATTATAAGAATGTGTTATAAAATTAATCTTTTGGTTTTTATTTAAATCTGAATCTCTTTGTAACCTATATAATTCTTGTATAGTATTATGTAGACGTTCAACATCCGAATTAGATTTATGATGTTGGGGTGATGTCGTATGATCTTTAATATTATATGTTTTAAAAAGTTCTTGAATTAAAATACTACAGAATGATTGTTCTCCATCGTGAATTATTTTATTTGGTGCACCTACTAAAGCAAATATCTCTGAGAGCGTGTCATATACTATACTTTTTTCTGTTGGTTTAACTATTGCATATTTTGAAAATTTATCAATAATTGTGAGATACCATTGGCTCTCTAAGGACATAAAGTCTATATGCCATACATCCATAGGTTCATAAGGAGTCTCTGTTTCTAACGATAATGTTACATTAGGATGTCTATTATATTTTTCTTTTTTACATGTTTCACAGTTTAATATAAATGTTTTTATTTGTTTTCTCATATTTTCCCAATAATATTTTTCTCGTAATTGTTTATAAATACTTTCTATTCCGGCATGTCTATTCCCAAAGAGATGATATTCCGAAATTAATTTTATTTGTTCTTCTTTTGCTTCTATTTCAACTAAAGTTCTAGTATATCGAACAGGTTTAAATTTACTGTGGTCAAAATATTTTCTATATACTTCTGAAACTTTATAGAATAAGTCTTCATTTGGTATAACAAAAGCGTATTTATTTTTACTTAAATATTCTAACATGAATTCTTTAATAACTTGTTCTTGATTTTCAACTGGGATATAAAAATACCACATACCTTCTTTAAAATTTGCCTGTTTATAAGGAGCTAATTCAAACACTACACGTCTTAACCGTTTTGGTGGATGTCTGTCAATGATTGGTATTCCTTGTTCATTATCTTGTTGACACGAGTGTACTGTATTACTTGAAGACAATGGGTCGTTATTATTATCTACTGACATCCAAGAATTGCTATCAGTATTCAATGGTGTACTGTCTAGTGACACTTCCTCACCACATTGGACTGCTAATGAGTCATTACTTGTGTGATGTAATTGAATCCTACTTAAGGCATCAGCCACACAATTCTCTTTACCTTTTACATGTTCTATATTATAATCATAATCTTGCAACTTTAATTTCCAACGAGTTAGTCTTTGATTGGGTTCTTTTAATTTAGATAACCAAATTAATGCTTTATGGTCTGTTCTTAAAGTAAATTTTCTGCCGTAAATATATGGTCTAAAATGAGTTACTGCCCATAAAATACCTAATAATTCTTTTTCTGTTGTATTATATTTTTGCTCTGTTTCACTAAGTGTACGGGACGCATAAGCTATGGGATGATTTTCTTGGCTTAATATAGCACCTAAAGCTATATCTGATGCGTCAGTCGTAATGATAAATTGTTTATTAAAGTCTGGGAATGCTAAAATTGGGGCATTACTTAATAAATGTTTACACGTTTCAAAGGCTTCTATATATTTTTTGTTTTTTATATCTATAGTAGCGTTCTTTTTTGTTACCTCTGTAAGTGGTTTTACTATTTTACTTAAATTAGGAACGAATTTTCTGTAATAACCTATTAATCCTAAAAATCCTCTAACTTCTTTTAATGTTCTCGGGATAGGGAATTTCTTAATTGCTTCTATTTTCGCTTGATTAGGTTTTAATCCGTTTTTATTTAATATGTGTCCTAAAAATTCTATCTCTTCTGTCATAAACACACATTTATTTTTATTAATTTTTAAATTAACTTTTCTCAAAGATTCAAAAACTTGTTGTAACCTATTTATGTGTTCTTGTTTAGTTTTTGAATATATTATTATGTCATCTAAGTATACTAAACAAATATTACGTGTTATTTCTGTTTTCAATACACTATTCATCATCCGTTGAAATGTCGCGGGAGCATTTTTTAATCCAAAAGGCATTCTTAAAAATTCATAATGACCGTTAGGGGTACTAAAGGCTGTTTTTTCAATAGAATCTTTTTCCATTAATATTTGATGGTAACCTGAGGTTAAATCTAATGTACTGAAATAATTGTTCCCTTGTAATTTTGAGAATAACTCTTCAATATTAGGAAGAGGGAATTTATCAGACTTAGTTCGCTCGTTTAATCGCCTATAGTCGATTACCATTCTCCATTTCTTTTCACCTGATTGGTCCATTTTTTTTGGAACTATGTGAACTGGAGAAGCCCACGGAGATTCTGAATGTCTTATTATTTTTTCACTTAATAGTTTATTTATTTGCTTATTTATTTCTTCTTGTTGTGTTTGTGGTAATCTAAATGGTCTTTGATACATTGGTTCGTCATCTGTTAAAATTATTTTATGTTTTATAAACGTCGTTGCGCTATTAGTAACATCTTCCGTAAATAAATCTTTATATGTTTTACACAATTCTTTAATATTTAACGAGTCTTCCTCAGTCATGTGGAAAATTAATATTTCGTTTTTTGGTAATATCAACTTTCTTTCTTTTAAATCTATTTTTGCGTTTATTTGTTCAATCATATCTGTTCCCATTAAAATATCATATTTTTCACTAAAGTTAAATATATAAAATTTCATTGTTCCTTCTCCTATACCAAAATATTTTTTCCAATAGGGAGTTTCTATTAATCCATCATGGTGTGTTATACCATGTGACGTTTTTACAGTAAATTTTTCAGGTTTATAAAAATCGCTAAAATATTTTGATGCTTGTTTTGTTATGAATGATCTTTGACTACCTGTGTCTATTAATATTTTTAAATTAGGATTCTGCGTTTCAAAATAGGGTAAATATGATTTTACGTGATTAAATTCTATGATCCTTCTTGTATATTTTCGCCTATTTGAAAATTTTCATTTTGACAGTTAAAATAATTTTCTTCATTATTATCAGTATTCTCTTCAAGATGGAATACTTCTTCCGACGTAAAGCCTTTTCCTAAATTTACTTGGCCTGCCTTTAATGGGGGTGCCGTTCTCATCGATACGTCCTCGTTTTGGAACCGTTTTTGAAAGGATTGTGGTCCCCTGTTTTGAAATTGTGGTCTAAAGAACTCATTTCGCGGTTTATTTGGGTATTGAGACCAATTCTGTTGTAATCGTTGATTTAAAGACCTTGGCGTAGGTGGATAAGTATGTCTTACGTTATTATTTTGCGTATAAGCATATCTCATATTATTATTTGGTTGTGGATAATTTTTAGATGTATTTGAATAATATGGATAATTAGGTCTTACAATATTCTGAACTATTTTTGGCGAAGGTAAGATATTTGAAAATTTTTGTTTTATATTATCGAATCTTCCTTCAGCTTCTAAATGTAAGATTCTAGTGACTGTTTCTTCAAAACTACAGTTCGTCACGTATATTTGATCATGATACGGTAAATTACTACGTAACGTGTTTTGTGCTACGCTTATATATGGCAGCATAATAGCTTCGACTTTTTGTCTATCCCTATGTTCATCGATTAGTTTGCTTTTAATAAAAAATAATTTTTGCTTTATCTCAAAAATTAAATCACCGAAAGTTCCTTTCCGTTTTAGGTTGGTTAACTCTACTAATAATGTATTAAATTCTCTATTATCTCCACATTCTGTTTTTAGGATATTTTCTATGTTTATCCATTTGAATGAGTGATCTATCATCGTAACGCATAAAGAAGCTTTTCCTTCTAATTTACTTAGCAGTAACATGACATTTGCGGGATTTTCCCCACCGACAAACTCTAGCCATTGTTTAGCA